AAATATTATGGACTCACTGTTAAGGTTATTGACTGGTTGTTAAGTTTACGTGTTTATGGATTGGTTGCTAAGGTTGACTCTTTGTTGTCAGGCTTGTTGATTTATTGTTAAAGTTAGCGCTCTGTTGTCAATTTTTATGTATTGGTTACTAAGGTTAGCTATCTGTTGTTGAACTTGTGGAATCGTAGCTATCTGTAGCTCCTTGTTGTAACGTTTAGCTCTACTGTATAGCTTATTGGTTGAGAAGATCAGGGGGTGAATTGATAAGCTTATGGTTTTGTTGTTTAGATCGTGGATTGGTTGTCAAGCTTATGGATTCCTTAACAATAGGGTTAGCTATCTGTTGTTAAGGTAAGCTGTTAATTGTCAAGCTTATGAATTGGTTGTTAATGTTAGCTATCTGTTGTCAAAACTATGGAATGGTTGCTAACGTTAGCTCCCTGTTGTTAAGGTTAGCTATCTGTTGTATTGGTTGTTAAGGTTAGCTATCCTGTAGCTGACAGGCGAAGGGATGGTGGTGTTGCCGCGTGGAATGTGGGGATAGGTAGGTGTTCAGGTTATATTAACTCACCTCCTTGGGAACTAGGAGGAACATTGAATGCAGTAGCAGAGAATATACGCCGGTGACCGTGACAACCAAACGCTGCTGAATAACAGCAAGGGACCTCTCCACAAGAGGGCGCTAACAATTAATCAATAAACATAACAATTAATCAAAAACTTAACAACCAAAAAAACATAACAATTAATCAAAAACTTGAACATTAAAGTGATAAATTTGACAACCAAAAAAATAACCTTAACAACCAAATCAAAACTTCAACATTAAAGTGATAAACTTGACAACCAAGTAATAACCTTAACTACCAAGTCAAAACGTCAACATTAAAGTGATAAACTTGACAACCAAGTTTATCACCTTAACAACCAAGCTATGACCTTCTCACTTGTAGTGATATACAGGACAACAAATCCATATACATGACAATAAAACGCTAAACTATATAGGCTCGTTACAGCTTGCACGATTGTGACCCTCCATGTTGCATCGAGAGCACTTAACCGGTCGGGTGTTCAGCGACCTGTTGTTTATTCGTCTAGTGCATGGTCTGCCACGTCTTTTTTTGGTGAGAGGAGGCTTCAACACTCGCTCTTCTGGCGGTACAAAGCGCTTCTCGTAATCTGGGATGGGATAGATGATCGGTGCATAGCTTGCTCTGAACGCAACAACAGTCATGTACCAATCGCAATATTGATAAATTTCTCGTCCCATCCATGTAATTGCAGCGCACGCATGTTTGCAGGGAATGCGGGTGATGTCCCAGGACCTGCAAGAACAAGTCCGATTCTTCAAATCTACGCGGCAAGTTTTATTGGACTCGACCTCCACAATATCTTCCGTCGAATGTTTAATCGCCAAGCAGCTACCATGCTGAATGTTATCACTCAGCACCAACTCCGCTTCCGGGCATAGGTATCCAGACCATTTCTGACCCAATAGCCTCCTTTCATGCATGCGCTCCATTATTTGCTTCCGTATGGTCTCAACCAAAGGTAAGATTCGCAACAATCGTGCCTTTCTTATCCAGCTGTTGAAGGACTCAGCAACGTTTGAAGTAACATGGCCATACCTTAACAACAAAGCACTAACAATAACAATAATTCCTTAAACTAAACATTAAAGGCCTAACCTTAACAACAAATATCCTAAACTTAACAGCAAAACCCTAGCAGAATAACTCTAACCATAACAATAAAAATCTAACCTTAACAGAAAACTGTAGGATAACTCTAACCTTAACAACTATAACAGTGCTGTAACAAAATAACGTCGGGACCAAGCTATCTTACCTTATACCAGGAAAATGCGCGTTTGCCCATCTCTCCGGGGAGTATTCCATTACAGTGACATAAGCCCTGTGATCGATCGCTGCCAATTCTTTCATGTCATTATCCCATTCAGATATTGTGAACTTATAAGCCGCAGATTGTAACAGCTCGCCCAACGTAGTCGCGATATTTGCCTTGTGCCCAAAATCCTTCATCTTTTTTTTGAAATTCTCGACTAGATGCAGAACACACCTTGAATGGAATGCATCTGGAAAGAATTCCTCGACTGCTGCCCTGATACCCTTGTCGGCGTCTGAAATCATTACCAGTCGATGTGGAGGTTGGTAAGGATTTTCCCTATCATACAGTAACGTCCATAATCCTTGTAAGAACCATTTCCAGTTAACCTCATTCTCTTGGTCGCATACGCAATAAGCTAGGGGAAATATTCCCTGGTTGCCGTCATACCCAGTAGCGCTAAGTAGTATGCCTCTGTAACGATCTTTAATAAATGTTCCATCCAAAAACAATAGAGGCCTACACCCAGCAATGAACCCTTCAATACAGGCATTATAACTAATGAACAGTCGCCTGAACCTCCCGTCATCAGCATCAATAACAACACGACTCCCTGGATTAGTTGCATGCACCATGGATTCATACCTGCATGAATATAACAACAAAGCAGTACATTTAGCGAAGGATTCATAACCATAACAAATGATCTTCAAACTTCACGACCAACACGTATACTTAACGACGAACCAATAACTTTAACAACTAATACGTATAGTTAGCAACCAACACGTACACTTAACGTCGAACCGCCAACTTTAACAACTACTACGTATAGTTAGCAACCAAAAGGTAAGAGTGATTTCAGAAGAATAAAAAAGATAAGGACCATCTCAGTGAATCGTAAGCCTCATCATCGTCACCGAACAGGTCCTGTTGAGCTGTCTCCTTGCTCCACCACGCTTTACTGTAGTTAATCTTGATGCCAAAATTAGAGAGCATGTCGTTCTTGATATCGACCGCACGAAGATCTGGCCTAACCTTCAAAACAGCTTGTATTTGGCTAGCAATGAACTTCCTTGATGCCCTTGAGTTGCCAGCATTTGCTCCATGTTGACCGCAGGTGTGGGTAGACTCGAAATTCTTTATGGACATGATAGACGAATTTCTGAGCGGGGAAGCAAACAACATCCAAGGGCAACCATGTGTGTGTTTGAATCGGCAATAGACTCTTATGCGTCTTTGTTCATTGTGGTAAAAATCATACTCGAACCGTTTAGCAATTGAATAGTATTGAAGTGCTAATCTAACTTCAGCAGCACTATCAAATTTCTGACCAACTTCACGTATGGAGGTGTGCCACTCAGTTGGGATCTTTGTTTGGTGATTAAGCATGTCTTCCAGCAGCATGATCGAGTCGCCGGTGGGGTTGTCATTAGGAATACGCTCATCATTACAGGTTTGGGTGAACGGGGTATCTGCGCACCGCGAATTTTCTGTCGGTATTGTCCTGAAGTATAAATCAAAATACATAGCCTTAGCAACGAACTGATAACCTTAACAACGAACTCATAAACGTAACAACCTACACATATCCTTAACAACTAACCCTTATACTTAAGGGCAGACTCGTGACCTTAACAACAAACGCATATACTTAACATCAAACACCATAACTTAGCAACCAACTAGTATACGTAACAGCCAACAAATAACTTTAACAACCAGTGCTTAACATAACCTTGACAGCCAACACATTACCAAAGCAACCAATGCATGAGGTTAACAACTAATGGCAAAACCTATCAGTGAACTCAAAAGGAAATCTGGAGTGTAATTCCTACGCAGTTTCCGGCGTAGTCTGCGTGTTCTGCGAAGTTGAGGATTCCGCAGCGGAGGTGGCATACAAATTCGCGTCTGTAAATCCATTACGCCGACAATACTCGAACATCAAATTTAAGTCGTCGTCATTGTCAATTGAAATGCTGAATTTCTTTTCCCTTTCGCATATGAACTTCAGTGAAAGAGATTGCATTGGTATTTTCAGCCTTTCCGCCACTCGATATTTCAAGCTGATTATTTCTGTATTCTCTTTGATAACGACGAATACACCGTCACCACCTTTGTTGCTTTTTGCCTTCGTTACCACGCATAGAAGAGATCCATCCGCCATTTTATTACAGGGAGTGGTTGAAGAATCGAAGAGGCTTTTATTGAGGATAATTAAGTGGAAGGAACAACTTAGCTTGAAGGGGGATATAGCTGGTGATAATATCTGATGATAATTTTGGAGGGAAATGGGAATTTTCCCCCCCAAAAAAGTCATTCATATCACCATTTAATGCCTACAGTCGAAACGATGGGTTTCCGTCGTGAGAGGGCGACGAACACATGCTGCGAAGGGTATTTTGGGCATTTCGAGCGGTGTTTAAACGGAAGGTGGCCTGGGGATTCGTTTTGGGGGCTGGAAGAAAATCGGGGGCGGTTTTGGGGGTAAAAGGCACGTTGAAAAGGTCTTGGGGGGGCAGAGCACGTTCTGTGTTGTTTTGGGGGCTGGAAGCAATTTTCCCTAATCTTTTTTGCATGATCAAACTTTTGAAAGTTAGAATAGGCCTCCAAATCTATGAAATATTCATTTATTAGTGGCCATAAAAAACATTGTCTAAAAGCTAGATGCCTTTTTTTTCTTCCTCAATTGCCATCGGCTTTTCAATTTATTTGCATTTTTTAACATCTAAATTTTGTTTTGGGACCAAGGGTATTTTAGGGGGTCCATGCCAAATTTTACCATTCACTGTTCATACCTATTTTGCCCTCTCTACGTTTCTTAGATGCAAGGATATTTTGGGAACCTTCCTCTTCGGATAAGGCCAGCAAAAAGGAAACCTCTGACCAACTGCCGGTAACACTCCCATACTCTCCTCACCATACCCATCACCTGCACCCTACAGCCACACTCCTCAAACTGGAACGATGGCCCTAAAACCTAAACCCTCTCCGCCATCAAAGTCCGGCCCAGACCACCGACCCGACCCCTGACCGCGACCGCGACCGCATCGCCGACCTCCTAGAGTCCTCCTCCCACGTCGCCTGCTTCTACTGCCGACTGTCCCCTCCACACCCTCGCCATCCGCCGCCTGCTCCACGCCCCGCCGCCCTCGACCTCATCCGGCGGCAGATCCTCTCTCCGATACATGGACGGCGGCTACGCTCGAGAACCGCCGCATCGAGAGCGAGCCCTTCCTCTCCCACGTCGCTGGCCAGGTGCTCCAGGGCCTCGCCTACCTCCACAGCCGGAAGATCGTCCACCGCGACATCAAGCCGTCTAATCTCCTCATCAACAGCCAGAAGCAGATCAAGATCGCTCACTTCGGGGTCGGGAGAAAAAGGCAACGCCTTTATTGGGAAAATTGGGTATTTTTGCTGAAATTTTTGCTGGATCTTGCTATAGAGGCTTCTTGACTTCATTTTGATGATTTCTTGTTTACATATTATTTTATTTGTTGATAGAATTTGAGGTCTAATTGCATAGAATTTTGTAACACTGCATTCATTCTTATCAGATCATCTTGCAGCTTCAATCACTCGCTCACCAACAAACGATTACTATCTTGATTGTATTCATCAACACAAAAGAGGTATATACAAGCTAGCTTGCATTCTCCCCATCTCTATATCTTATTATTAACCTGATATTAATATAATTTTATTTAATAGATCTTTGCTTCAGGCTTGCTTTCCTCCTTCAGCCTAATTTCGCTATTTCAGGGAAAATTTGTTCTTCGCTCTGCTAATTCCATGGATAGTATGAACACATAAGTGGATATCTAAGGTAAGTGCTCAATTCCTCTAGAAATGGTAAATTTTCAGTATCCTTATTAAAGTTAACACGATATCCGCATCTATAAACCACTTTTAATATCCTTAAAAAAACTCAATTCATTATATTTCATTTTTGATGTAATAGCAATTACTTTCATAATATTTAATTCTCTTATTTTATGTTTTTTGAGTGACATTTATTTTTATTTTATGTTAAAAGAGTGCGGTGAATGACACAAACCACTGGTATATAACAAGTTGCATTTAATAAAGCTGCATTTAATTAAAAATATAAAGAGAACAGAGACTTTATTTCTTAATAAAATTATATTTTATTGAGCTCGGCATCTCATGCATTAGCCTTTTATAGTAGCTATGGAAAGCCAATACTATCTTTCCAAAGTTTCAATTTAACCCTCAACTAGGAATGGGTTTTGATTTCTGGATTTTGAATATTTTCTTCAAAATAATATACACTTTATATTTCAAGTTAAGGCAAGAAAAGCTATTATTCTGTATTTTTTATCAGACAGAGAACTAAACTTGGGTTTTATATTTACAAAAAATAATTGATCTTAAATATGATTATACACTTTACTTAATTAACCATTTGGGATTATCAAAAATTTTTGACACATTCATACATGTCTAAATAAATTAATGCTATCTCAATTCTACTTAATATATATTGTCCAAGTTATGCAAATTCTTGCTGTCAAAATCAGTTCATAGCAATCCTTTTTAGGTTCATAAGGCCATTCTTTTCTTCTTGAAAACTTTTGTATATTTTGTGAAAGCTTGGAAGGTTATATACATGATTTTTTCTCGAAAATATTCTTTATCAACCCGTGTCTTCAATTTTGTGAATGATAATGGAAATACCAAGGTATCAACCCAAGCTTTAAAGAAAAAAGTCCCTCAATTTAAAGCTTTCATTCATTTTAGAAATATTGTGATGAAAATTTGTATGTTTTAGAAATATTGTGATGAAATTTGGATGTTGCATTTCCTATAATTAGTTGAAATTATCTGTTTGTATGTTTTAGAAATATTGTGATGAAATTTGGATGTTGCATTTCCTATAATTAGTTGAAATTATCTGAAAATTATTATTTGAAATTTAGACGGTAAATGAAAATTTTCACTTTCCTATAATTAGTTGAAATTATCTGAAAATTATTATTTGAAATTTAGACGGTAAATGAAAATTTTCACGACAACTGATCGAAAATATCTGAAATTATCTGAAATTTTCATTTTAGAAAATATTGTGATGAAAATTTGCATGTTCTTATTTTCTTCCATGTCCCAAGTGAAAGTTCGTTTAATTTAAGAACGATTCTATTTGGCTAGCTTTTTTTGACATTACTGATGCATATATGCCTGACTATTCTCCCTCTCTCTTAGTGTGTGGAATCTGATTTTGTTTGCCTTATTGTGTATAAAGTTGATACTATCTGTTAATATGTTTGCTTTCTAATTGTACGCTTACACGCTGTTAATGCACTCTTAGTGTGTGGAATCTGATATTCTCCAAGCTGTATGTGCAGGAATATGTGCTTAGTATGACTATACATTTATTATAGCTAATTGCATTGTGGATGCTCTTTAGATTTCTAGATAATGTTTTGGCTTTTTCTGCAGTAACCATGCATCCTTTCGTTTGATATGCTTCCTGTTTGTTTCTGACATTGCTTGGGCATTTGTGATCTGCAGTAACCATGCATTTGTGACATTGCTTGGTTGAGAAGGGGTTGGCTGAGAGATTGAGGATGGGTAGTTTGCTTGAGGATGGACTATGAGGTTGGGATTAACAAAACTGTCACTGTCGAGACCATTGCCAATCTCCTTCAGGTATAATTTCCTTTGATAGTAAAGGAAAGAATTGCAAGATTCTAAGATTTTAATAAATATAAGGTTATAGTTTCTTGAATAAATGATACTTGTGAGGTTGATGATATTCAGCGACATATCTTCTTCTTTTGATGATGATCTTTGAAGGATTTAGACTTTTGTGAGATGTAGGGATCAATTTTGAGGAGAGAGCACTTATCCTTTTACCTCCTTTTTATCTCCCAAACAAATCCCAAGTCCATCACCTCCTTGACCACCATTCTTCCAATCACATCACCCAACACCCTCCCTCACCTCTTAGAATTCCGTCTCAATGGGATGAGAACGACATGGCCTTGGGTGAGGCAGAGGTTATTTGGGTTCACCATTACTAAATATGATACAATTAGAAGAGAGAAAAAACAACCAAAGGGGCAAAAGGGGAAATGGCCACATGACCAATAATTGATGAAATTTGGCCTGGACTCCCTAAAATATCCTTGGGTCCAAAACAAATTTCAGATGTTAAAACTGAAGATGAATTGAAAAATGGATGGCAAATCCGGAAGAAAAAGAATCGATGGTGTTCTTATGTTGTTTTGACATATGTATATGTTTATTTATTCATGAGGTTGCATGCTTACATAGTGTCTACCAAGCCTTGATATCATAATGGGATTTTTTACTTTTTAGGCTATGATGATTGTAAATTTTTTTGAGATTAGCAACCTGCAATATCTGTTGATATTGCACTGGATGGCTAACAATGATGATATTGACCAAGTTCTGAGCCCGCAACCATAATTTGCATATACATGTGGCTGGTACGTTAACTTGGTACGCTAACTTAATACGTTAACTTTGCATATATATTGCATTTTATAGATATATATGGATTGGTATGTTAACTTGGTGGTTAGAGGTTGAATCTGACTATTTATTTGTATCAATAAATTTTCTACTGGTATTACCCATGGTTTTGAAGCACTCATGGTTTTGAAGCCTAACTGGTTTTATTTCTGATAGTTGACTCAACTACTCAGTCTCCATTACGTACATGTTTGGTATTTCCAGGTTTGATGCGATTTGCCATGTCATATACATATTTATGACTAATTAGGTTGTTTATATGTTTTTTACAGGTTTCGTAAGAGTTTTCGCTAATTCAGGTACATATTTCATAAAATTATGAATAATCAGGTTATCACTGGTTTCGTTTGTTTTTTCAATGTCAAACAGGTTTCTTGTTATTTTTTCATGTCAAACAGCTATATTTCATGCCAAATCAGGTACGCAGTTCATACCAATAGAATCATGTTATTCTAGGTTTCATATGATTTTTTATGTCAAAAAGATATTGATAATGAATTTGGTTATTTACCATTTGTTCATGTTACATTCACATTTTTATTTTAGGGAGATTACCTCCCATAACGATTACAAATAAATTTGTCGTTATTGGCGGTAAACTTACTATGGTGACCGTATACACTTTTTCCTACACATTTCAATACCAACCAAACAGAAGAAAAGTGGGAAATGTCTAATCTTCAACTAAGCTAATACTTATTTCATATGCTTAACAAATATGGGTGTCGATTAATGGTGCTTGACATTTTCTCTTTAAATTTCAAGATAAAGGAGAGCATTGTGTATTATTAGATAATGTATTTCTTTACATTAGAGTTGGGTATTCAAAAGGAAGAAAGACACGAAATTGCCTTCTATATCCCTAGAAGTGAATCATTGTAGCATTCTTTCTTGTAGGAGAGGAAGTTCTCTAAATATGTTTGCACTTGAATTTCTGATTCTTAATAGAGAAGTACATGCCAATTAGTTAAAAAATTACTATTGATAAAAATTAAACCAGTACATGGAGGTGCAATTACTAAGCTCAATGCATACCACAATAATGTAACCTGCTATACTACTGCAGCCTCAGTACAGGACAATACAATATCGCTTTAGCATAAAAGTGGCTCAGATTCCCTTAAGCCAAAATGTACTTTAGAATATTTTGTTTCTTTACAGTAGCTTCTTCTCTGAGATTACAAGAACATGTTCCCCAGTCTACCACATCAGATATCAATTTATACAAGTAAGCATCAGTAAGCAAGTAACATATTCTACACCTTATCATAGAGAACACATGTTAACTTTATTCCATGACCACTGTTACATCTTTCTGATATTCCAAATTCTAGATATACACAAATCATTAGGTGCAATACATGAATTACAACCTTCAGTTAAGCAAAATTTCTAATCTTCAGCTACAGGTGAACAATAGATTTGAACTCCAATTCTTCAACATGCATATATGCCACAACAACATCCACCTCGCAAACCCCCACCACAAAGAAATCAACCAACACCCTGCAAAGAAACACCAAACAACACAGTAAAAACTTACGGTATATTTAACAATTAATTGCGGATAAACCCCCTCTAGCATCGTTGTTTTGAACTTACTACCCATCTATTACAGAGAAATTTTCCCTTCTTTTCCATACCAACCAAACATAAGAAAAGTGCATATATTGATTTCTTATATGTGAACCAAACCCAGACAATCTATTTCTTAGAAAAGTTTGGAAAACCCAAAACTTGGATTTCTTTACATGGAATTGTATTTCCCAATATATGGGAAACGAACCAAAAAGCCCTTCACTAAACCAAAGAGGGCCAGAAAACCCATTTCATGTCTCAGGTTGCTCGGTAAAGGTTAAAAGAACTCATATTTCTCCCTTGTTTTTATTGTTGTTTTTTTAAAGGATTTGATTCCTTCTTATTACTTTTTCTTGTAAGAAAGATTCTTGCTAGAAACTCAATTTTTGGGTTTGTTAACTCTTGATTCACTAGCTTCAGAGAATAAAAAAACCAATCATGTTCTTTCTTCTTCCTATAAGAAGAATATGGAAGTTTTGATTGTTCTATTCTAGAATTTTTCTTCTTTTCATTTATTCATTTAGTTTTATGATACATGTACAATTCGAGGTTTTTTTTAATTGTTATGTGAAATTTTTTACCATCTTGTTGTAACGTTTTTACAGGGGATTGCCTCCAGTCTAGATAGACAGTAGACAAAATTGGTGATTCTGTTGGGGAGACTCATGGGGTCTCCTAATCATTTCAAAAAGCAATTAGAGGTATTTTCTTTCTGATTTTATTTCTCTCAAAAAAAGCTCAAGAAATTCTTTTTAGCTAGGTACCTAACTTTAAATTAACATTAATGCTATGTGCCTTGTCTTATTATTGTTTAATTTCTTTAAGATTGATGAAATTTTAATGAGTAGTGTTACATTTTCTGCATGTACGGGGAATCTCATTGGTTTTAACACAAGTGGCTTCAAATCATTGTTTCGGTCTCTCAAAGTTCAAGTGCCTTTTACAGAAGCGACTTTGCTTGTAAGGAACATCATAATAACTTGGTATTATAATGTTACTTTGCTTGACTTAGTACTGAAATATGTGTGCAGACGCCAATGAAGTGTTTTAAGAAAGCTGTAGAGAAATGTCACATGGATTCATTAGGCACGTAGTCTCTTCAGTTTCCTGGGGTAAACATGTTGCAGTTGGCACTGGAACTCATTTTGAAGTTATATGGGGCCACAAAAACCCGGTTTGCTGATAATAGACTGAGCATATTATCATATTTGTATTACACTTTTTAATTTCTTTATCTTAAGTAATTTGGTCTATATCAGGTGGCATGTAATGAAGATGTGGGGAAAGACGTGTATGATCTTTTGCTATGGGTTAGGGAGCCTCAATAAAGGGATTTACCTGGTGCTTGCTTGGGAAGTGATATCGACTACTCCTTGGATGATTTCCAAGGCAATGACATGCCCTTGTTTTCTGTGAGAAGCCAACCTTTGAAGATTATGTTGAAACTGAGAGCAGAGGTAACCACAGCTGGCAAGAATGGGGAAGAACAGGCAAACCTTCTTCAAACTGGGATAATGGCAGTCCGAATTGCATTTTCTTATGCAATGATCAAGATGCGCTCTTTTTTTGTCGTCCTAAAGATAATCAGTGGACACAACACAAGCATGATTTGTATCATGATATCCGTGAAGATGACTTCTTACGTGATGTCACAAGCTTCAATGGAGGATTTTCGGGCTGACGCGGTCCAGTTTTGTGGCAATTGAATGTTACCCAAGTCATTCTAGAATCAACATATTGGGAGAAATCAATGTGAAACATAAGGTGATGGTTTATTTTGAGGACTATTTGGTTGCGTGTCTTGGGGAGCTTTATCTTGTAAGGCTACATCGAAGGAGTACAGCAATTGAAGTGCAACCTGTTTCGGTTACAAAGAGGGGTTCTAATAATAGTGAATGGGTTTATGTGCATGATATAGATGGCTGTGTGATCTTTTTGGATCTAAATGAGGGCTTCTGTGCGTCTCGGTCTGCAAGTGAGCTCAGCCTTGTAGGTGATTGCATATATTATGTAAACATAGGCGAAACATGTTTTTTCTGTTATGATATGAAGACAGATTGCACCCAGGCCAATTTGCCTTGTCATCATGTTCGTGAGGGATCGTGGTCAAGATCTATGTGGGTACTGCCACCGCTTTGAGTGAATCTGCTGGTCAATTATCATGTAATGAATGATTAATGCGAATTTATGCTTTCTTCTTAGGAATTTCAAGATAACTGAAGTTTTTTGCACTTTCTCTTTGTCGGAGACTGGATTTGTTTTGGGTGTATAATGACATAATGTTGCACCTAGGTAATTGTTAGCATGGTGTTCTCTTGTGTGTTGCGGTTTAAAGGTACTTTTTTGTGAGGTGTGTGCACGTTCGTTACACATTTTTCCTTATTTTTTCGCTTGATGACATAATGTTGCACCTTGGGAGAAATCAATGGAAAACAAGAAAGAANCTCATCAAACGAAAAACAATGTTTTCCATTGATTTCTCCCAAGGTGCAACATTATGTCATCATACACACCTCACAAAAAAATGAGGAAAAATGTGTAATGACCGTGCACACACCTCACAAGAAGGTACCTTTAAACCGCAACACACAAGAGAACACCATGCTGACAATTACCTAGGTGCAACATTATGTCATCATACACTCAGAACAAATCCAGTCTCCGACAAAGAGAAAGAACTTCAGATATCTTGAAATTCCTAAGAAAAAAGCATAACTTTGCATTAATTATTCATTACATGATAGTTGACCAGCAGATTTACTCAAAGCGGTGGCAGTACCCACATAGATCTTGACCACGATCCCTCACGAATATGATGACAAGGCAAATTGGCCTTGTTGCAATCTGTCTTCATATCATAACAGGAAAAACATGTTTCGCCTCTGTTTACATAATATATGCAATCACCTACAAGGCTGAGCTCACTTGCAGACCGAGACACACAGAAGCCCTCATTTAGATCCAAAAATATCACACAACCATCTATATCATGCACATAAACCCATTCACTATTATTGGAACCCCTCTTTGTAACCGAAACAGTTTGCACTTTAACTGCTGTACTCCTTCGATGTAGCCTTACAAGATAAAGCTCCCCAAGACACGCAACCAAATAGTCCACAAAATAAACCATCCCCTTACGTTTCACATTGATTTCTCCTAATATGTTGATTCTAGAATGACTTGGGTAACATTCAATTGCCACAAAACTGGACCGCGTCAGCACGAAAATCCTCCATTGAAGCTTGTGACATCACGTAAGAAGTCATCTTCACGGATATCATGATACAGATCATGCTTGTGTCGTGTCCATTGATTATCTTTAGGACGACAAAAAAGGAGCGCATCTTGATCATTGCATAAGAAAATGCAATTCGGACCATTCGGCGATGAAGATATAGCGAACCTGGTGGATAGAGATGGGATTTTATGCTTGAGCGGCGGTAGATTGACTTCGTGTAGGCTGATCGGATTAAGCAAACAACATTCCTTTGAATGGGTATCTAGGAGGACAATCCACCCCTGAGGAGTTGGCCATGCACGGTTTCTTCGTAGTTGACTGATACTTTTAACAAAATATTCCTTACTTGATAAGCTGAAGAAAGTTTGAAATTTGTCACCCCTCACTCGTGGAAAGAGGACAAACCATGGCGCAGTTTGAGATTGGGGTGGATATGAACTGAAATCATCTCTTGGATGCTTTTTTGAGTATAACTGCAGGTTCTGTTCTTCTTCCATCTCACTGATATGATGACTTGTTAAACTCTGATTGGAATGACCTGCACAAAGTAACACATTTAGATGATATGATATTTTGATTCAAATTACTACTATACTAATAGGAATAAAACAGATGAAGAAGAGGAAATTACCCATTTTTTAGAAGTCATTTTTCTTAGACACAACAATCATGAAAGAGATCGTGAAGTATAATGACTAAATATATAAACATGCCACCATGTTTACTGTCATGTATGTTGTATATGATCATCTCTTTTTCTTACAAATTAGCCCACATGTCAAGCTGCAAGCATAATTACAGCTAGAAGAGGAGCAATCGTTCGAGGAAGCGGTCTCTTCGATCCAATCACTCCTTCCGTATCTTTCCCCAAAATCCTATCTGGGTCTTCGCGATTTGGTGAAATCTCAACTTCTTGTTACTTAACATTTCTTTAATTTATTGAAATTTTGAATAATTTCATGCATGAGGTGTTGTTTTATGGTTAAATTTGATTTTCCTAACTATAATTTCTGTTGTTGAATAGATTTTTTTTAATATCTGGTTGTTATCTACACGTTTACATATCACCACAGACATCATATTTTACAACACTGAAGAAATAGCTCGGATGAAATTCAGCATTAACGATTTCTTTATTGATTTCAAAAATTATTGTAGCTAGGAAAATCAAATTTAACCATAAAACAACATCTCATATATGAAATAATTCAAAATTTTAATAAATTAAAGAAATATAGTGTAATAAGAAGTTGAGATTTCACCAAATCGCGAAGACCCAGATAGGATTTTGGGGAAAGACATGGAAGGAGCGATTGGATCGAACAGACCGCCTCCTTGAACGGTTGCTGCTCTTCTAGCCTCCTTGGAACGAACTGGATTGAGATTTTTTTCTACAAACCTAAAGCCGCTGCCGCTCGCTTCAAAATTTTAGTGGGTTTCTTGAGTGAGGGCCTGAGGGGGCAGGAGCTTAATATATAGGGGATGGTGCCACGTGGACACTGGCAGCTGGACATTTCTATTGCTTAGTAGTATTGTCCGAAAATATTGATGACCTGTTGACATGGGCTAAGTTGTTATTTCGACATGGGCTGTTTGTTGTGGAAGATATATTTTCAGAGGAGTCTCCTTCCTAATCTTATTCAAAAAAACAGAGAAGAATAGTCCAACAACAGAGACAAAACAGCCCATGCGAAACAATAACTTAGCCCAGCCCACTAATTCAAGCTACTAGCCCATTATATCAACAGTTACAAAGGAGAAAATTACACCTTCTATTTGTAGAGAGCCCAACAAAAATATCTACTGAAAACGGCATCACAAACCAAGTTACATGCATGTAGTGAGTTGAATCGTACAGTGCCCCCTTTTTGCAATCCATTCAGCTCCCTCCAAAATAGAGCGGACGGAATATTGGGCTGCCTCCTCAAGTCCTCAGCACTAACTGCAGGATTGTATCCAGCCCATTTAACCCTGCCTGTCGTATTTATGCCCGGCCCAGTATTCGTATTTATGCCCGGCCCAGTATTCTGAAAGTCGGCATAATTTAGGGTCTCTGGCGGGTGGGTTCCCAGTACCCATGACAGCCAACCTGCACTGTCCCCAACCGATCCAATGTCCGATTGCATATAAATCGTTGTCGAGTAGGGCCTCCAGGGCCGGCCCAAACTTGCCCAAATAAGTTTGGGCCGTTACATTATTTGGGACCGAAACTGTGCACCCTTGGATCACGATGCCCTGTGTTTTCATCGGGGGTCCTTCTTTCCTTGGGCCGTTATTATGTTCTTTTGGTTGGGTAAAGGTCGTCTTGGGGTTATGTTGCATTTTTGGAAAACTACGGCGGCTATCCCGAAGGTGAAGTCGACGGTTTCCGGTGATGTCGCACTCTCGGTAGAACTGTCGGTTTGAGTGGGCATAGAGAGTGTCTTGATAGGCTTCGAAGGAGCAAACGGTAGAAAACGGTTACAATAATGACTAAGTTTAATAATAAATAGGGAGAAAATTTTTGGGACATGTCAACTTGTTTTTTAGCACTAATAACTAAGTTTACTGATAAGTAACTTATAACAAAATAAGAAATAAGTAATTTTTAACGTTTTACAAAATATAAGTATTAACCAAACATCCCCTAATTTGTGTCAGGTCTCTGTCAAATTCAAAATAATAACTTGGCCCAGCCCACTCAGCCGACTGATGCAAACTATTAGCCCATGATATCAACAGTTACAAAGGAGAACATGACAAATTTATATTCGTAGAGAGCCCAACAAATATATACTGAAAAAAAATATCACAAACCAAGTTACAAGTTACATTCATCTACTCGTTACGAAAGAAAACCAAAACTAACTTTTTTTTTTCCAGTTCAAACACTTAGCAAGCTAAATATACGATAAATTACACACAAAATGCAAGAAAATCAAAGAGTTGAATCATACGCGACCCCTTTCTGTGCAATCCACTCAGCTCCCTCCAAAAACCTATGGACCGAATATTGGGCTGCCTCCTCAGCACTAACTGTTGGATTATACCCGGACCATTTAACCCTGCCTGCAGTATTCGAGCCCGGCCCAGTATTCTGAAACTCCGCATAATTTATGGTCTCTGGCGGGTCGGTTCCGGGTACCCACGAGAGCCAACCCGCACTATCCACCACCGATCCGATATCCGATTGCATATAAATCGTTGTCGAGTAGGGCCTCCAGGGCCGGCCCAAATAAGTTTGGGCCGTTACATTATTTGGGGCGGAAACTGTGCACCCTTGGATCACGATGCCCGTGTTTTCATTGGGGTCCTTCTTTCCTTGGGCCGTTATTATGTTCTTTTGGCTGGCCAAAGGCTGTCTTGGGGTTATGTTGCATTTTTGGAAAACTACGGCGGCATCGCCGAAGATGAAGTCGACGGTTCCGGTGATGTCACATTCTCGGTAGAACTGTCGGTTTGAGTGGGCATAGAGAGTGTCTTGATAGGCTTCGAAGGAGCAACGGTAGAAAACGGAGAGGTCGGCCCCAGAACGGAAGGCCACGGCCTGGTGCTTTTCTGGCCCGGCTGTGTTTTTAAAGCCCATGTCTTTGGCCATAAATCCTCGGCCCATAACAGCTGAAGAAATAAATGTAAAGGTGGTAAATAATAGTTTTAGGACATAGTTATAAATAAATTCTTGATCACATGGCAGATATGTGTTTAGTACATGATCTATAGTATTGGCTAATTTTTTTTTTTGGTGATTGCAGAAATATGACAAGTATAAATCACTTTTATATTAATTGCAAAAATCGATATTTGCAATTAAGTTTGCAAATAAGTTTGCAAATATAAAAGGGGTCTATTTTTGCAAACTTAATTGCAAAAATTTCGATCTATAAAAGGGGTCGATTTTTGCAATTAAGTTTGCAAATAGGTCGAAATTAAAAATTTGTAAATAGGTCGAATTTGAAAAATAAATATAAAAGGGGTCGATTTTTACAATTAAGTTTGCAAATAGGTCAAAATTAAAAATTTGTCCAAATAATTATATACCATTATTTCTTTGGATTAAATTTTTTTATAGGTTCGTTGAGAAAATGATTCTGACAGGTGTTCCAAAATATAAAGCCCTAATAGTTATTCGTCAAACATAACATTACCACAATATGAACACTCGTAATGTCAAGTCTTAGTTATGTATTGGCTTAAATATTTCATTTTCAACTCTAAATTCTTAATTACCACTTCATCTTTAATATGTTTGTTTGTATGTACAGAATGATAGATCATGAAAGTTCACACGCGCTGGTAACCTCACCGGACTCCAACAAATCCAAGACCACATGGGCATCTGCCCATTAGTGTTTGTGCTCATAATACGCGTCCCAACCCCGACACCGAATTGTGGGCCCGGCCCATAACGGATAGAAAAGAAGACTGGTCACGTTTGCTGGGCCCACAGCCTACTGAACGCATCGATTCCCTCCTATTTTATATTGGGCCAAGTACTCATTATAGGACCGGTAGAATAAAAGTTGAAGTTGGTTGAAAGTTGTTGCTATAATGTCAATGAATGATCTTGGCTTTGAGATTTATAGGAATAAACTAGTGTGGTTAGATATAAATTAGTTAGTGATTTAGGTAAAGGGTACTATTTTAAGTCACTGTCACTGATCCCTTTATTGAGAGAATGCATGGGAGAATAAATACGCAACAAAAATGCACGATTTTATACGCGGATAAACTCACAAGCAACTTCGGATGATTTTATATTGAATTTGTTACATCAACCAATATAGTCTTATATTGGGTAGTTTAAATGCTAATAGGTATACATTACAGAATAAGAGTTCTTATATGGCAACCAAACCTAACTCCAGGATAAACACTAAAATTAGGTTACCAAATTAGATTACGGCTTCCGTAAAAAATGATAATCTCAAAATTAAGAATCTGTAACAAGATTTGTGAGAAGAAAATTTGATGGTTAAACATTCTTGGGTTGAGTAAGAACTTATATCATCGTGGCCTCTTAACTATTGTGTTGTTAGCATGTCACACATCTAGCGTATCTATTAAAGCATATTCAATTATTCATGATACAGATTGTAAAAATCTAGACGCACTCACACACAAAAACAAGTGAAGGGAATGGGGGTGATGCACCAATTCTATGACAACCTCTCTTCAATCTACCCAATGTTTAATATTCATGTCACATGACCTTATGCTTACTAAAATTTGCCGACCAAAACGGCCACATAAAGTGCACCATGCTAATACTCTGAAGACATCAAGAGCAACATTAATTATGTAAGTGCAAACTTTATTCCATCAGACATGCAACAGTATCTACTCTCATAAAGGCGTAACCTACCCTAATTAGACAAAGAAAGAACACAAATAATAATTGAAGAAATTGAATCTAAGTGATGAAGGGCTCACCGAAAGTTGCCGTCGAGTACGTCGGCGTTCCATCGAGAAAATTCAAGCTCCCCGAAACAATGGTATCGTACATACCATCTCCGTATACGTGCACGTTCCGCATCTTCTTATCGAGCACGATATTTTCCTCATAAGTCCCTTTCTTCACATAAATCACAAACGGATCCAAACTCTTCTTAGGGATCATCTCAATTGCTTCCTTAATCGTCTTCACATCTCCGCTCCCATCCTGGGCTACTGTCAAATTGGGGGCCACTTCGACGGTGGCCTGCAGAAGAGCCCTCCTCTGCGATGAAGTGATCCACCCAGGAATAATTTGACGGGTTCCGCCAGCGCTCAGCAGCTTTCTTCTGTGCAGCTGAAAGTCCAGGCTCTTCAGGATCCCGAGGATCCCCGTGGCGATCGCCAGGCTGTTGCTCGTCGACCGCATCGCGTTCGTCATGGTC